TCGCAAGCTCTGCACAGCCGAGGAGCCGTGATTAAATTTCTCCTGCAATTTTTAATAGTGTTTATTTATTTCTGATGACATCATTGGCCTCTGCCGCTTAGAGCATGCACTGATGAAATACTTCTATAAGACAACAGTGTAATTACAAGAGAGAACAAAAGCCTGGTTCACCTGTGCTTGTGTAAGTTATGAAATAAAACTGCACTCAAAAAACTAAGCATCAGAAGCAGCTTGGTGTATAAATAGGTTCCATGATGTGACTGACATGAAGTTCTATGAAGACAGCTCATGAGACTAAACTTATTCATGTCTTCCTTCACTCATTGGGTAATGATATCTTGCTCAAATACTTATGTGCTCAGTCTGTGCACTGGGGCACCACTCGTGAGTAAAAGAATGAGAATGTAAAAATCCTCAGTGGCTAAAATACAGTAATAGCAAGTTACAGGTCAGCACTTGCAGCAAATCAGCCTCTGCCTTGTCCACTCAGATTAATTCTCTGAGCAAGAGTAATGAAACACACCATGGCTGTTTTGTAGCATTAATAAGTATAAACACACTGCACTGTTGAGAAACTTTTTAGTATTCAAGTTACGAGGAATACTTGGATGTGCTGATTTCTATCAGCAGCAAAGGCAGTGTAAAACTTTTGACTTGGAGCAAGAGAGAAGAAAATACTGCCTTGTCTCAAAGTGAAATACAAGTGTGTGTGGAATCCAGTTTTCATATGGAATGTTTTGTATGTTCTTGACATTTTTTGAAAATAGGTTTAACTTAATGCTCTTATATTTGAACATGAGATAACACTGGCTTTTTAGGTAATCCGTGGTAATTTCTGATTAAAAATATAGATCGAGTGTACGTACAATGACTATTTAGTAGTTATATGCCAGCCACTCATTTCAGTTACATTGTCATGTTTTCTTGTGAAAGAACAAAACTACTACTTCTTCTTCTTTATAAAAATACTGAACAGGACTCACAGTTATGGGAAGTTTGCTTTCAACATGCATCATCTTTTCTACTGCAGTTTTCTCAGTTCTTTGAATAACCTGGGTACCTTTATTTGCCTGACACTCTTTACCACAGCAATTCAAAAGTTCATGACCATACTGGAGACAATAGACCTTTTGTTTGCACATAGAGGGACTCATTTTCTCTATTGGTAAAGTAGTTAAAAGTAAAATCCATGTTCTTTTGTTAGAGAACATTCACAAGACACAAGTGTGTATTTAGATCTTGCTGTTGCTCTGTAAGAGCTACAGAAGTGCTAGGTGTGTATATTATTACATGTGTGTTTTAGAGAAGTGAACTGGTGTAGTGCCTACAACTATATCAACACAGTTTAAGAAAAGCGTAGAGTGTGTTGTTGCAAAACTTGCTTGTTAACTTCCTTTTCTGTAGATAATTTTAGTACAAGGGGAAGGACAAGTGTAATATGCAAGGGATTTCAGATTCCAAGCTGGAAGCAAGTTTCTAGTAACCTAGTTTGCATGCAAAGTATTTTGACTGATTTCAGTGTATCAGGACAGCATCTGAAAGACTTAAATGGGAATTTGTGAAAGCAGCATCTGAAAGTGCAGGTTTTTTACTTTCCATCTGAAATATTACATGAATAGTGCTAGGGGTGCTTCAGGAGTTATCTGGTCAGGACAGCTGTAGAGGCAGTTTTATTGCAACATTTTGTTTTTTCTCTCTCCTTGTCTCCCTTAAACTCACTCCAGGGCTCACTTAAAACGCGTGAGTAAGTTGAAAGATTCTAGCGTCGTTCTGACCATGCCCTTTGCATGAGAAGCCAAGTGTAGGATGCGGGGGGATGAAGTGTTTTTTCCAGTTGCACAACGCGTGCCGGCTGCACCTTTATTTATCGTGGCGATGACCTGACAACAGAAACGCGTGTCCCCGTCCCCAGAGGTGCGACGGCTGCGATGTCCCCAGCGCCGCGACGGCCTCCGCGTGCAGCCAGCGCTTCTCCTGCCCTCTGCGTGGAATGAGGGTTGCGCCCGAGGTGCTCGTGGTGTTCAGAGCTATCCACGACCTCGGCCCTGACTGTTATTGACATCTCTCAACTTCCGAGGGAGTTTTGTGTGGTTTTGGGCTCCTTCCTTTTGGGGAGTCTGTCACTTAAATGTGAACTGAGCATTTGGTCACAGCTGGGATTCCTACAATGTTAGCTGTCAAGTTTTAAAGAGAAACTTCAGTAATATTCTATCTGTTATATATATTTTCAGTTTTATTTTTGAAATATTTCTTGGCCTTAGGTGAGAGAAGGAGAAATTTGCTTTCTTTTCTTAAGCAAGTTCCTGCTTTCCATACTTGAACTTGGAAGGAAGAAGAACTGAGTCTTTTAACTCAATTTTTAATTAATTTTTCATATCTTTATGCAAGGACTCAGAACTTTGTTTTCAGATAAAATGTTTTCTGATGTAATAAGCAAATAAATGCATTTGTTATAGGGCACATAAAAGCTGAAGAAAGAAATGTTTGGTCTCCTCACTAGCTATGCTGTGAAATAGAATGAAAGTGTTGAGCAGGAATCCAAGGATCCCTTGCCTAGGATCTAGGAATTTTCTGGAGCAGGATGCTGTTCCTCCTCCCCTGTCACGCTATCCCTCGATACCAGGGAGTTTCTCCTACTGAAGTCTCCCAGAACCTGCTCATCCCGGCTGGCAGCAGAGGTTGTCCCATGGTGAGGCTGGAAGCTACGGGAATGTCAGTGTCTGCATGGCGGGATCTGCGTTAAAACGGAGCTCCGAACACTCGGAGCAGCCAGACGCAGCCAAGGCAGGGGGTTCCTGTGCCCGTCCGCAGTGTGGGGCCTTTCCAGGGGCAGGCTTGGCATTGTCATGGACCTTTGAAACTGTGAGGAGAAAGGGAACAGCAGAGAGGAGGAAAGTTGAAGAGAGTTGAAGATGATACTAACGGGTTAACACAAGCACCTGTTTGTGGAATTAATATTAATTAAACATTGAAAAGAACAACGTGGATCAGAAAGAACTGTTGTGATGAGAGCGTCTTTCTGAAACCTGTGATCTGGCTGTGTGGGAGGTACTGGAGAAGGGAGCTTGCATTTGACTGAGGACTCCTTCAGAGTATAGCAGTACTGCTGGGAGACGAGAAAAGAAGTATTCCGTAGCTGTGTGAAATTTGCAAAAAAAAAAAAATCACTTCAGATATAAACTCAGTTGATTAAGCAAGCAATCCAACCTGACTTTCCTGGGGTTTGTAGTTTTGTTGTTTTGTACTTCTAGCCAGGATACAGGTTACAGGGGCAGATGTCCTAGATTGAGAAGATGGTTCAAAACAAGGGCAGCCTAAAGGCTCTGGAAACAGTGATGTGGTTGAGGAAACCTGTGCTCAAATATATGGAAGGGAGCATGAGCGGGGTGACCGTGGCCAGGAGACTCCCTTGTTGGGAGATCTGCGTGCGAGATCCTGGCCTGCGCGGCACCCAAGCGCTTCCCAGCTCTGAGCCTTCCTCCAGGGAGCCCGACAATGCTCCAAGCAGGCAAATCCCCTTTCCACAGCGGTGGGAGATGGGAATCTAGGTAGGGTGACTCGCTCTGAGTGTCCCCTTGCAGCACGCGGGCCAGAGTCAGCGCGGAGCCCTGAGGCGCCGCGTCCCTCACGCTGCCTCACGGGGAGGCGCCTGCCGGCCCCGCTGTGTGGCAGAGCCTCGCGCGGGGCCTCGCCTCGTTGCCTCGCGTTTATTTTCTGGCAAATGTTGGCGCAGCTTCGTGCCCCTCCAAGAGGGTGAATTGCCAAGTGCTGCAGTTGTTGGGGTCCCTGGGTCACCTGTGCTCAGCAGATGAGAACAGCTTCCCGGTAGAGTGAATTGAAGTGACTCATGTGGTGGTGGTGGTGGCTCCCAGTGCAGAACTTGGCAGGAGATGGTCCTGAAAAAGCCAACTGCAAATTACTTTCCTGTGAGAACTTTCTGGGCCCGTTTCTCCTCTGTGCCTTTTTCAGGATTTTTCCTCTGACTGAGGAGGCTTTTTTTTTTTTTTTTAATCAGTAAAAACAAAGACAATGCCTCTGGTTTTAAAGTTCTTCCTTTATGTACTTTTTGTCTTTTTTTTTTTTTAAAAAAAAACCTAACTTACTGAATAATAGGAATTATTCTCTGCAGTTTCACAGCTACGGGATTTTCCAGAAATTGCCCTTTAAAGACATAACTGCCATCTAGGAGTTGAAATCCAATTGGTGAAATAGTTAATTCTTCTCGTAATGAATGAGTATATTCTGTGTACAGAGGCTACATAAACGAAATGCTTTTGTAGCTTAAGCACCTCTTTAAAAATAGGGTTTCTAACACTTGCACCATATGTCCCCTTATTAAATTCTCCTCTTACTGAATAATGACATTACCCTCTGAATGACAGAGGTGCTTGTTATACGATCTGACCTAGAGATACATCTGGAACTTGGCCCTAGCGGGGCCCCAAAATAGAACGACCGTTGCAGGAAGAACTTATTAGAGGACTTGGGAGAGATCTCAGTATGAACCACTGCCGCCGTGCCAGAGCTTTGACATTGTCCAGGCAGCAAGCTCAGACACGCGGCCATTTATTTGCTTTTTGAGCATTTTCGTCTTCATTACGCTGTCTTGTCTTCCCCTCTCTTCTGCCTCGGTATTTACAGAGATTAATCCTCTCTTAGCTGAAAGCAAATATATTCTTCAGTATCCAGTGTCAGTAACTCTTAGAGAGCTGGGAGAAGAACTACGCTGGGGAAAATGGCAAAATTGTATTTATTGCACAGGTTGGTTCTGAGATGTGCCCAGGAAATGTCTCTGGTCTCATAGGCGCTTGTTTAAGTTTGAGTATTTCTACCTGAGGTAGGTAGACCGTATAGGCAAGTACTGTATATTAAATGAGAAACTGCTGCGATGCGGTGGATATTTCAAAGCCTGAGTTATGAGAAGAGGGGGAGATGGGCATATAAATAAAAAGAAAACGCTTGTCCTTACGAGGTGCACGTGTCGTGTTTTTAACTTCCAGGAGGGCCAGTCCTCGGCCAACGGCCCGTCCCGCGAGAGCGTCAAGCAGCCGCCAGCCACCATGGGCTACCCGAAGCTGCGCGCGGGCTACATCCCCATCCCCGTGGTCCACGAGGGCGCCGGCGGCCGGCAGCAGCAGCCGCCTCTGCGGGGACCCTACGGCCGCGCCGAGTCGCCCGCGCGGGGACCCGCCGAGGCCGATAAACAGTGTGGACAGACACCGGCAGCTGCGGCAGCGCCGGCTCCAGCGACGCCCGGCCCCGAGGTAACTGCGCTCTGTTTGCCGCAGCCTGTGCGGCGCTCGCGGCCTGAATGTCACACGGGTGGTTTAGCCTCCAGACACCCGAACTTACCCAGGATTGCATTTTCCAGATTCTTCCAGAGTATTAGCATGCAAAAGTGCACTGTCATTTCAGCATGAGTATTTAGCGTTTTTTCTCCAGTCATAAGTTCTTATTTTCAAGTGATTATGCAGAAAGGGCTGCATGGGGATTGATTCTGAGAAGCGAAAGCCTCTGAGTCATGCAGGTTGTCTTACAGTAGATGAGGATTGCTTATGATTTATGCCAGTTGCTCTGTAAGCCGAGTATGCAGGCAAGTCCTGAGTCTCTCGTTGGGTGCTGTAAGTTTGAGGAAAAAAAAAAAAAAAGTGAATGAGGCAAAAATAAACCTGGCTGGTGAGCTAAACACCTGGGCCATTTTAGAAGTTTGTCTTCTAAACTAGGAGTTTAGAAGAAGTGTTGCAATTTTGTTTTCCAATTTAATACTCCATTTTAATCTTTAAAAATGAATTGTAAAATGGTTTTGTTCTTTACTGGAATGTAAAAGTAGTTGCAAACTATGAACTTAAAAAAACCCTGCCTGCCTAACTTGCTTTTTGTGTCAGGAGAAGCCACATTTTGGCTTGTTTGTTCTCTCTAGAGAATTAGCAGAAACTATATCATTGTAAGATACTAAAATACTAATCTCACCTCAACCTTGAGCAAAGCTCAAAGGCAGATGAGCAGAAAATTCAGCCTCAATGAATTCAAAAACCTGTCAGCAGGTCTGCAGCCCAGCAGGAGCAGCTTTTGCCCTCAATCCTGTTCTGAATCCGAACCAAGGAATCCAAATGCTGTCGGCGGTGGTGGCCGCCGTGCCAGCCCGCAGTGCCGTGTGGCTGCAGGGCTTTGGGATGGCTCCTGAGGACTGGCTCCTGCAGATCTGCGGCCATTAAATGGCCAGACCAATGGCTGTGGCAGTGGCGGTGATGAGCACAGTATCACAAACAAGTGTTTACTTGTTCCTTCGCTCTAGGTTGCTGCTACCGACGCAGCTGAAGTGAAGTAGCAGGTCTCGTTCCCCATCCTCTCCTGCCTTGCCTGCCTGCTCCTGCCTGTGTTGTCCTGCCCTTTTCCTTGTGCTTGGCCTCCACTGAGGCAGTTAGCAAACCTGTCAGAAAAGAGATCTTTTTTTTTCCCCCTTTTTCCCTAGTTAGTGAATTAAATCAGCTCTACGAATGGTCTGACAGCTGCTGCTGTTCACACAAAGTAGGTGATGGAATGGCAGGAAAGAGGGACGGGGCTGTGAACTACTAAATCGCCCTTCCCTATTCCTTAAAACTAAATACAAAGCGGGATATTTATTCAGCAGTGATTCCAGTGCTAGCTCTATGCTAAGGCGGGTCTAAACTACAACAGCTCTCATGGCTGGTGCCAATGGGGATATTATACAGGAAAATCTTTGGAAGGGGGAAAAAGGACATTGACCATGTGTACGTTGCCATCACCTGCTACAGAATTACCTGCTTAACACAAAACAAAATCTGTTAGTGTGATCGAGATCAGGAGACTACATTTCCTGTGCCTCTGTCAGTGGCACTGTTTTTCTCTAGCATATAATTTGTTTGCTTAATTTCAGTTTGCCTCAAATTTAACAGGTTTAGACAGGAACAGCCTTGTAAAGGCAGAAAACATTCTGACTGAGCATCCCCTCCCTGCTCGTTTGAGGGATGGGAATGCTGTAGCTCAGGTTTCTACTTGTTATAATGATGCTCTTAGTAGTTCTGTGGTTTGTCTAACGAGGCACTTGGCAAAGAAAAACAACAAGGAAGTAGATCCTTTGCATGCCAGAAACGCAGGTCCAGTTTCCATGACTGTATTTTTCTTTTCTCTTTGGAAATAAAAAGTACGGTGAGGGTTAAAATTAATAATGGATTTTGTTTTCACGGCAGCCTCAGTCTCCAGGAGCTTCTGATTCACCAACGGTTTCCCCTCACTCATCTGGCAGATCCAACACAGGAAGCCACCAGCTTCCTCGTGGTTATATTCCAATTCCTGTGATCCATGAAAATGTCCAAAGGCAGCCGGCTCAGGTCTATCACCAGGCCCAGAAGACACACTACCCTGCCCAGCAGGGCGAATACCAAGCCCACCAGCCAGTGTTTCACAAAATCCAGCCGGACGACAGGGAGACGGCCCGAGCCCAGTCTCCCTTCCGAATGTCTCAGAAAGGTTCCTCGAGTCGGGAGAGCTCCCCGGCCAGAGTCAGCGCCCAGATCCAGCCCCCAGCTCCTGTGCGGGTGCACACAGTTGTAGACAGACCCCAGGTATGTGGAGCGGCCGAGGGATGTATGTGCCAGACACTTTGCTCAATGTGTCCAGTAACTGATAACGACTTTGTTGTTGAGATAAAGAGATTAGCAGCAAGTTGCCTTTCCACCTGTCAGGTTTTGGGAGTCTTCAGGTCGTGGAACTACATTAAACAAATCACTTTGAACATGCAGAAATTGGCTTTCCTCTTATCAGAGTTTAACTTGGTGTAATTAGACTGAGGTCACTGATGTTGCAGTATGTTTGTGAGAAGAAAATCAGGTCTATGGGATTTGCAGCATTCATGTAAATTCTCCTTATAAATGTCTCATTTAGAATGGCATCAGATGCAGAAAGTAATTTCAGTTACTTTCAGATGAAAGAGGATCAGCAAACCTTTCTGTTCCTAAGAAGTACATAGCAGTTCACAGATAAATACCCTGGAACAACAGTTTTTTAGTTTGTTCAGAATAGTGAAGTTTTTCCTTCCCAATTACTTTTCTCATAATCCAAGACTAGTAGGATTTGCATTACACGAGTAGGTGTGCATATTAACAGTTGTGTTTCTTTGATCAAACATTTATTCCTCTATACACTGAGCTAATAAACTTCACAGTAAGTTTGACTCCACTTTTGTCTTCCCTTTTTCTACCACTAAGGACCAACCTTCAGCATCCAGTACTGCACCTAAGATTTAATAATCTTAAGAATTCTTAATTCAGGGATTTAGTAGCAGTAAGGTAGTGTTAGAAAATGACAGTCATTTATTTTGTCCAAATTGATGTTACAGTATTTCCACGGGCTGTTCAACTCGCCCAAAATGCATAGCAAATATACTATGTACCCAGAACAAAAAAAAGTCAGAACAAAGACTGAGATTTGAACTGCAAGCTTGTACTATTCTGGAAATATATTATCTGGAATAAATAGATCCTATAACAAAAAGGAAGGACTAAAACGTTATTCCAACTTTAAATAAAAGTAGTTTCCTTAGGAATACAGGTTGTAAACCTACCATTTTGAAATAATACCCTGTGCCTATACCCTGTGCCCTTCATGTTAAACACATTTTTAAAGGTGGAAGCTAGCTAGTTGCCATTACATTTTTTTTTTCATGTTAAACACCTTTTTATGAAGACTGTAGTTAAATACATTTCAATTCAGTAATTCTTCAACATCAAAAGCTAATTTTACTGGCATTTGTGAATTTGTGGAGGGGGAAAGCGTGTATGTAAAAAAAAATAAACCTAGATTTTGTATCTGGAGAGATTTTGCATTGAAACGGAAAGAAGAAGAATTAGGTTAATATGTTTGAAAACACTTGTGCTAGATTAGACCAATCAAGACTTCAGAATATCCTACATTTTAATACACATTTATTTTTAGGGATGAAAATTTGAGATCCCTAATCAAATTTTATTTTATAGCCTGGGTAAGGCCATAACAGACTGTCAGTGTGGATGTGTTTTTGTAATTCATGCCACTTATTTAGATGGCAGAAATATAAATGTAGGAATTTTACTTCAAGTGTCTGTACTCCCAAGAGCTAGATCACCTACCTTTCCCAAAACAGGAGTAAGTGAAGGAGATGCCAGGGGAATAAAATGACAGGTCTTGTGAACTCCAGCTCTCAATTAAGACCTCAAAACCCTATTCATTTTAATTTTAATAGATTTCTGATTTGGTGCCTGGCTATTATTTCTATAGTAGCCTCAGGGATTATTTCTAAAAGCTACAGTGCTCAAGATAGACATAGTAGCCTCTCCATGCAAACACTCCAAAAATAAAAGCAGCACTAGCAAAAAAATCAGTATCATGGGAATGGCAAGAATAACCCCAAAGGAGATCAAAACTCAGCAAAATACTACTAACTCTTCAGGAAATACTGTATCTGAGTTGGTACCATTATATAAAATAGTGTGAGTCACAGAAGTTGTGAGAAGTCACCTGACTTCTGTGAACATGGGCAGAATTTTGTGGTTTCAAGTTCAATATCTCTGAGTCAGTTGGTTTTAGTAATCTCAACTTTAAAACAATAACTGGGCTGTTTAGGTCTTTTTGTGTGTTTAAGAACAGTACAATTCAGCAGTTTACAGGAATCATTTCCAGTGCTCTAAAATTGCAGAAAATTGAATGTTAGGTAAAACTTGATTAAGTTCAGCAGCAACACACAAGAGAAGGCACTAAAACCCACTTCTAACTGAGAGCAGCAGGAGCAGCAGAGCAGGGCTCTTCTGCGGGGCTGTGGGGCCCGTCACACCGAACGCCCCACGCAAGGAGGGTCTGGTGAGCAGAGCAGGAGCCTCGTGGCTCCCTTAGACCTGCCACGGTTGAGGGCTGGGCGGGCAAAGCTGGAGGTTTTTGCTGGAACTGGCGGGAAAGGAGAACTTTCTTCACTTTATTTCTTCTGCTTTCTCTCCTATTCATTAGTTTTTCCGCATTCCTTGTCCTTACAGAGCCACTGGAGCCAGAACTAGTGTTAGGAGCTGAGGGTGAGGGACCTGGGGCTTGGCCTGGCCTACCTGTAATGTGTGCGAGGCTTTCGTGTTTCAGTACTAGATTTTAAAGAGCATCTTGTGCCTTTTTGGGTCCTCCAAACTAAGACAGATGGAAGGGCCTGAATTTCAGAACAATATGTACTGCTACCTGCTGAAAATCAAGATTTTTGTCCAGGAGGTTTCAGAGTGGATGTCCGTGGTTATGAGTCACTTCTGAAAATCTTGGACTAAGGCTTTCCTTTTTGTTAGCTTTGTAAATTTTGTTTGTTTGTTTTAAAATGAAATAAGAGGTGTTTTGTTTTCTTTTTTCTTCTATCTCAACACAAACTCGTCTTTCTCACCAGGTTTCTCACCAACAAGTCCCACCTCAAGAGCCACCAAGACCATCCCCACCAAGACCATCCCCACCACCTGAGAGCAAAACAGAAGTGAAAGCAGCCCCACCACCCGCTCCTGAGATGCCTTCAACGTATATCCCGGTTCAGGTCACTCGCCAGGAGCCAGATTCTAAACCGCCACCCCAGAAGCCTCCAGCCATGGCAGAGAAAGCCGAGAAGAAGGTTCCCTGCCCGGCTAAGATCGTGCCCCCCCAGGAAAGGCCCGTTCCCGAGGAACCTGCCCCAGCGAAGACCGTGGAAACGGGAGAACCTCCAAAGCATCCTGGCGTTTTGAAAGTGGAGGCAATTCTGGAGAAAGTACAAATGCTCGAGCAGGCAGTCGACTCATTTGAAGGCAAGAAAAACAATAAAAAATATTTGATGATTGAAGAATATTTGACCAAAGAGTTGCTAGCCCTAGACTCTGTGGACCCCGAGGGTCGTGCAGATGTGCGCCAGGCCAGGAGAGATGGTGTAAGGAAGGTCCAGAACATTTTGGAAAGACTTGAACAGAAAGCAGAAGATGTCCCAGAGCCTGTTCAAGTTGATGGACTTCAGTCAACCTTGCCAGAGCCTAAGCCAGCACAGGAGATCATGGAAATCGAACCCTTGGTAAGCAAGAGCGAGGAAGAGCCAAGTAATAGAGATGCTAAAGAGGAAACCAAAATGGAAAGACATCAGCCTGAAACTAAGGAAGAAGTGTTTACCAATCTCGCCACCACGACAAACACACCTAACAATCCTACTGAACCATAGCCACATGCTGAAGTTAAAAGCTCTCAGACTTTATAACTTAAAGTGTGTTTAAGTGAATTTTAAGTTGCATGCATTTCCAGAGCTCTTTTCAACTGGTTTTTAATCAACATAGCAGCTTGGGACACAGTAAACACTTTGTGGGGGAAGGAGGGAGTTAGAAAGAAAGTAATGCATATATCTTTTATTCCTACACTACGTAAAAATGTTTCAACAGCAAACCCTGTATTTTAATCACTTTTAGGTCAGCTGAATGCAAGAAAAGAATTTTTTAAAAGAACAATTTCAGGGTTACTGTTGCTGAGTGTGGTATTAGGGTGTATTCTTACGCAGGGGATTTTTGTAAAATCAATGCCCTGCCTTGTCAGAACACCAGTCCTTCTAAGTGTAGCCACTCCAATGGTAACATTTTCTTTTTAATGTTCACAGTTGGGCACTTTAAGTAACGATGGATAGAAAGTGTGTAAGAAACTGTGGGGATATTTATATGTGTGGAGGACTTCAATGCTATATTTTAGGAGGGAAATAAAATAATATAGAAGCCTAATTTAGTCTTGTGATTTTATAAGCTGGAAATGTAAGGGCGGTAATGAGTTTCAAATACACTCTGCTAAAAATAGAAAATTCTGTTAGTGCATCATTGTAGTTGCAGTCTGACAGCTGCTTTCTTACCTAGATCAAAATGTGTCTTTTTCCATTCACTTGCCTCTTTTCAATTTCATTTCTTATGTGTGGACTGAAGGAAGAATTTGGCTTAGAGTTTCTTTATCCCTATTCTCTCTCCCCCATAGTCACCGTTAGTTTTTTTTTTTTTTTTCTTTAATAACATCAAGAAATTCATATCTATTGCTATTTGATTTGCAGAAATTTACCTTAGGCCATTCTTGTGCTACAAAGTCACCAGTTTTTTATTAACTACAACTACTGATTTTCCAGCCAGGCGTACTTGTATCATAGACCCTGTGGGATTTAAATGCTTGTTTTGTGAACAGTTGCATCTTCTAAAAAAACGCTTTGTAGTTGCAATCAGCAACAGCAGGTGGTTAGAGAAAGGGTGTAAAAGAGCCTTCAGCTACACCCATGTAAATGAGAGCTGCAGAGCCAAACCAGTGTGTAGTGAGAGCAGGTGAGGCAGGAGTCACAACCAGGCTCCAGAATTGCCTTCAGTTTTCATCTGTAGAAGGAGCAAGTCTTTTTTTAACCTTATAACTCTTGTTTACAGTATATGAGGAAGATTCTTGTCTGCTATGGAAGCTCAAGGTAGTTGATTAGCTATTGAGTTACACCCGAATCACCAGAAGATTAAGCCAAAATATTAAAGTTTAAAGCTGTCTGAAATGGGTTAGAAGAGACATCCTGCGAGTGATAACCTCGAGTTGTCACTATTGTAACAAAAACATGCCATGTGTAGGTGGCAATACGGCAAGGGCCTTCAACAGCAAAGGGTCAACAACCTGCTGCCTAGTTGCAGGTGGACATTGGTGCTCCTTTTAGTTCCATTTGGATGGGGAACGGCACTGGGTGACGGCAGCGTGTCTGTAACCTGCCAGCAGCTCCCCAGGGGGTCGGGTTTCAGTGCAGCGCACGCGTCTCTGACCTCATGCGACAAAAATACTTAAATCGAGGAAAATCAGCTACGGCTTCGTGCGGTCAAACTACAGGTGAGGCCTGCGGGAGGCTGAGGCTGCCTGTTCCTGGTCTCTCCCAGCGACCCCGCAGGAGTAATTCCCAGCAAAGTTGCATCATTTGCAGGATGGCAACATGGAAATTGGGAATGCAGTCCCAAAAACATAGGCTTTGCAGAGAGTTAAACAGGTGCTGTCTTTTTAAGACATGTCATCTACTGCTAATGGAGCCCTCTTCATGTCGCACTGCATAATGTTGGTCGGGGAGGTGGAGTCAAGTTTAATGACAATGTACTATTTTCTTTTAAAGAAACAAAGCTGGGGCTAGAACTATGTTCTGCCTAGCGGCACTTTCAAAGCAGATTGTTAAAAGCAGTGATGCTTTCAGAAACTGGTAGAAGGAGGCGCCACCAAAACGAGGAAGGGTTTCGTGGTGCGGCCTAATAAGGGAAAGCGCCAAAGTACCTGTGGCCGAGGGGGAGCCGCGCGACGCTGCTGCTCTGAGTCACGTCTCTCTGCGGCTCCTGAGGCAGCAACTCCCGACCTGCCGCACGACAAGCCCGGCCGTGTCCGTGTCTGTGTCCGTGTCCGTGTCCGCACGGCTGCGGCTCTGCTCCTGGGCTGGGAGAGGGAGGATGCAGGAAGGCAAGATCTGCCTCTGCCATGCCCTGGGGGCTTGTGCGCACTTGCCCTCCTTGTGAGCCTGTTGTTTCCTTCCAAGCAACCTATTTTATATTTATATATATATTATATATGTTATATATATCTATAGCACCTGTGATGGGGGCCTTTGTGACTTACACTTCTGCGCTGGGTTCCTAGCTGGCCGGTATTTTGACCCTCAGCTGTGGAAACGTGTTTTGCAATTCAGGTACAAAGCAATTAGGCTTTCAG